GCCACGAAACGCTGCCCTGGGTGGGGGAACCGCATGCGAACACCCCCACTGGGGCCTTCGGTGGAGCTCCCTATGGGGCCACGAAAGCTGTGAGGGGTGTGCCGAAATGGGTGGTGGGGAGGCATGCGAACCCTAAGAGGGAGGAGGGCGAGGAGGAGGAGGAGAGGAACGCGGGGCACCGTCTCTTCAAAACGAGGACCCAACACCACAGGATGGTTGGGAAATTATCCTGGCGAAAGACCCAACCATAAGCAATTGTTGGTAACGCGTTGTGGGTGCCGCTTTCGGTGGGGCTCCATATGGGGCCACGAAGCGCTGCCTTGGATGGGGGAACCGCATGCGGACTGCGCCACCGGGGCGGGCCTTCGGTGGAGCTCCCTATGGGGCTACGAAACGCTGCCCTGGGTGGGGGAACCGCATGCGAACTGCGCCACTGGGGCCTTCGGTGGAGCTCCCTATGGTGCCACGAAACGCTGCCCTGGGTGGGGGAAGCGCATGCGAACTGCGCCACGGGGGCTTTCGGTGGAGCTCCCCATGGGGCCACGAAGCGCTGCCCTGGGTGGGGGAACCGCGTGCGAGAGCAGCCACTGGGGCCTCCGGTGGAGCTCCCTATGGGGCCACGAAACGCTGCCCTGGGTGGGGGAACCGCATGCGAGAGCAGCCACTGGGGCCTTCGGTGGAGCTCCCTATGGGGCCACGAAGCGCTGCCCTGGGTGGGGGAACCGCATGCGAACACCCCCACTGGGGCCTTCGGTGGAGCTCCCTATGGGGCTACGAAACGCTGCCCTGGGTGGGGGAACCGCATGCGAACACCCCCACTGGGGCCTTCGGTGGAGCTCCCTATGGGGCCACGAAACGCTGCCCTGGGTGGGGGAACCGCATGCGAACACCCCCACTGGGGCCTTCGGTGGAGCTCCCTATGGGGCTACGAAACGCTGCCCTGGGTGGGGGAACCGCATGCGAACACCCCCACTGGGGCCTTCGGTGGAGCTCCCTATGGGGCCACGAAACGCTGCCCTGGGTGGGGGAACCGCATGCGAACACCCCCACTGGGGCCTTCGGTGGAGCTCCCTATGGGGCCACGAAACGCTGCCCTGGGTGGGGGAACCGCATGCGAACACCCCCACTGGGGCCTTCGGTGGAGCTCCCTATGGGGCTACGAAACGCTGCCCTGGGTGGGGGAACCGCATGCGAACACCCCCACTGGGGCCTTCGGTGGAGCTCCCTATGGGGCCACGAAACGCTGCCCTGGGTGGGGGAACCGCATGCGAACACCCCCACTGGGGCCTTCGGTGGAGCTCCCTATGGGGCCACGAAACGCTGCCCTGGGTGGGGGAACCGCATGCGAACACCCCCACTGGGGCCTTCGGTGGAGCTCCCTATGGGGCTACGAAACGCTGCCCTGGGTGGGGGAACCGCATGCGAACACCCCCACTGGGGCCTTCGGTGGAGCTCCCTATGGGGCCACGAAACGCTGCCCTGGGTGGGGGAACCGCATGCGAACACCCCCACTGGGGCCTTCGGTGGAGCTCCCTATGGGGCCACGAAACGCTGCCCTGGGTGGGGGAACCGCATGCGAACACCCCCACTGGGGCCTTCGGTGGAGCTCCCTGGGGCCATGGGTGGGGGAACCGCATTTGGGTTCGGTGGAGCTCCCTATGGGGCTGCCCTGGGTGGGGGAACCGCATGCGAACACCCCCACTGGGGCCTTCGGTGGAACGAAACGCTGCCCTATGCGAACACCCCCACTGGGGCCTTCGGTGGAGCTCCCTATGGGGCCACGAAACGCTGCCCTGGGTGGGGGAACCGCATGCGAACACCCCCACTGGGGCCTTCGGTGGAGCTCCCTATGGGGCCACGAAACGCTGCCCTGGGTGGGGGAACCGCATGCGAACACCCCCACTGGGGCCTTCGGTGGAGCTCCCTATGGGGCTACGAAACGCTGTGCTGGGTGGGTGAAACGCAAGGAGGAGGGGGAGGGGCAGCGGGAGGAGTGGACGCGGGGCGCTGTCTCTTCAAAACGAGGACCCAACACCACAGGATGGTTGGGAAAAACACATGCAGTTGAAGATGCTTTGTGCTCTACGAAATGTGGATTTCGCCAGCGTCCCTGTGCAACGTGATGGTTTGAAGCATGCGAGCCAGGACATGCACCTTCTTCAGCTGCGAAGTATGACCATTCTAGGCGATTGAATCTTTGCAGCAGGAAGAACCTGAACGTGCTGACACTCGATTGGACGCAAGGCTGAAGCTGGAGTTGGAGCTGGTCAGGATCTGGAGCTGAGGCAGGAGCTGAAGCTTAAGCTGGAGCTGAAACCCAGTCAGAGCTGGAGCTGGACCTGGGGCTGGAGCTAAGTTGGAACTGGACATGGAGCTGGGGTTAGAGCGAAACTCGAGCTTGAGCTGGGGCCGACTTGTTTCTAGCTGAACCTGGCTGGACCGGGGGCTTGGCAATAACTCGCATGGAGCTGGAGCTTGGGCCGGACTTGGGATTGGACCTGGAATTGAAGCTGGGGCTGGACCTGGGGGTGAACATAAACTCGATTGGACCTGGAGCTACGTTGAAGCTGGAGCTGGGTTGAAGGCGGAGCTGGACGGAGAGCTGGGGCTGGAGCTGGGCTGGAGCGAAGCTGGGGCTGGTGGTGGAGCTGGTGCTGGAGCCGGGGCCTGAACTGGGTCTGGAGCTTGGACTGGATCTGGGACTGGACAGGAGCTCGCTTGGAGTTGGAGATGTGCTGGAGCTGGAGCTGGAGTTGGAAGTTGGATGGAGCTGGGTTGGAGATGAGGTTGGACATGAAGTTGGAATTTGCTGCAGCTGGACTTTGAGCTGGGGAGCTGAGCTGGAGCTGGGGCTAGATCCGAGCTGAAGCTGAGCTGAGGAGCTGAGCTGGAGCTGGAGCGAAACTGAGGCTGGAGGTGCAGCTGGGGCTTGGGCGTCGTCGTCGTTCTCATCCTTCTGTCGCTTCACCTTCGCCAGTGTCGTCGTCAATGCCGTCATCAACTTCAAGTCGGCGGCGACGTGGTCGTCGTGGTACTGGTTGTGGTCTTGGTCGTCGCCGTGGGAGTCATCGACAACATATTCGTCAATGCTGTCGTCCACGGAGGGGGCGTTGTTGCCGTCGTCGTCAACGTCGTCATCATCGTCGTCGTCGGACGTCGTTGTCGTCGTCGTCGTCAATGTTGTTGTCGTTGGTCGTCTTCAAACTCATAGTCAAAGTCGTCGTCGTCGCCGCCACCGCCGCCACAGCCGCCACCGTTGTCGTCGTCGTCGTCGTCGTCGTCGTCGTCGTCGTCGTCGTCGTCGTCGTCGTCGTCGTCGTGGTCATCAATGTCGTCGTCGGCGGCATCGTCGTCGCCGCCGACGCCCTCGTCGCCAACGGTCGTCGACGGGGCGCGGCTCCTCCAGCCAGCCGCCCGCGCCCGCCGCGCCGCCCCCAAGCCGGGGGCTCGGCAGCAGCGCGGTCTCCTCGGGAGGGAGAAGGGGGGAGCAGCAGGGAGCGGTGAAGCAGGACGTGGCGCGGGGGGGAGCCCGCGCCCGTGCCCAGGAAGGCGTCGGGCTCACCAACCTCGCGTCGGGGGCGTACAAGGAAGGGGCGTCCAAAAGGGGGGGGGGCGCAAATCATGGCCAGCGGCATGTGCGCGGCGCAGGGGGGGGGGGGCCCGGGGCGTATTCAAATAAGAAGCGGCGCCATGATCTCTGGGGAGATATGGCCCCCGCCATGATATCCACCCCCACTAATCATCACCCCCCTCTTGGCCGCCACCGATCGTGGAAAACCCAGTCTTGCCAGCGCTTGCGCGGGCGCCCGGTCAGTCAGACGTTTTCAGGGCTCCAGCCTACAAATCTTCTGCCATCGCCTGCCTCCGCTGTGATTGACTGTGTCCCACACCGTGTCGTGTTTCGGCCCCGCTTGTTTGTTGCCCGCGGGGCTGCAGCCGCAAACAAGCTTCTGTGGCGCTCTGTGGCCGTACGTGGCGGCCCCTGGCAGGAGGAACATCACTGACAACCTCCCTCGCCCCAAGCTCGGCCTGGGGATGGGCAGGTACACACCAAGATGGATCGTACCATGACGCTGACTCTACAGGGCTTTCTGCAAACAGTGGCGCCATCATCCTACGGGAGTGCCAGTCCATCCACTTTCACATCGATGTGCCACCCCATCTGCAAAGAGAGAAACCAGAGCTGATGCCCAAGAAAACGCACGCGATGGCTGCAGCCCAGCGCACAACAAGTGCTTGCTCCTATCTCGCAGCGTCGCAGCCACAGCTGGTCAGGCACAGGCGGGTCACGCCGGCACGAGTTGCAAACGTTCTTCTGGCGAACGCGCCAAGGCTCAAGACGCGTTCTCTCGGGGACACAACACACAAACACACACACACATATTAACACCCATTTGGACACAGAAACACATGATGAGGAGGAACTGGAGGAGATGTAGGATGATGAGAAGAGAGATGACAAGGAAGGATAAAGAGGAGGACGATCAGAAGAAGGCGAATGAGGAGGAGGGATCGTTGGGGGTGGGGAAGGGGAAGAGAAGTAGGAGGGAGAGGAGAAGAAGCGCGGCCTGAGAAAATATAGGAACATGACGAGGAGGAGCACGAGGAACACCAGCAACAAGAGGGTGCGGAAACACATCTTCCTCACCCTCCTACTCCTCCTCCTCGGCATGCTGGGTCGCATTTTTTTTTTTTTTTTTTATATCTTCTAGGGTCAAAATTGGCCCTCCAGAGCCCAAGAAGGTGAACAAAGCTTGCAATGTCGTTTTCCGTTGCCCGAGCCGCCAATTCTTTCCACTCACCCCAGAAGACGCACGGACTAAGTGCAGCACCAGCTCTTATTCGAGTGCCTCGCCCGGGCAGCCGAATGCCTGGTGTTTCCTGCGGGTTTACCTGCATTTGTTCTTTGTTTGTTTTTTGTGTTGGGGGAAGAGAGCGGCGCGACCACAAATCTCCACACAACTCGGCATCAACCGCTGCGCGAGTTGACCTGCAAATGC